AAACGCTGCCTTAAGGCAAGAGGAGAAGCTGTCATTGGCTGCCCCTTTCAATTCAAGTCTCCAAAATATGCCTAAGAAGCTGAATTAGGATGGAAGAGAGAAAGGAATGTGCAGTTCCTTGATCTTTCTTGACTGGGCAAATACATTTTGTTGCCCCAAGGAAAAGAGAAAGATTCATCTTGTTCTCTTAATCCGTCTTTGTTTTCTGTCTCCAACGAAGGAAATAACTTTGATTAACTCTGCCCTATCCAGAGAGAGGAAGATCAAGTTACTGTTTGTTTTTTTCTCAATCTTGGATGCAAAAAACACCAGCACCCAAGATGAAGATCTGCCTCTGTTAGCATTCATCTCTGGGCAATGCAAAGATATGTTTCCAAGGGCAATAAACAGTATATTCCATAAAAATTCCCACCAGGGTCTTCTACAGGCATAGAGGAGAGAAATAAAAATATATTTAATGGCTGGATGGATGCTTCCTGGCAGGCTTTGCTAAACCCAGATAAATTCAGCTTTACACATTTTTTTCCTCCCTTCAGATGACCCTTGGGGGATTCTGGGAGTTGAAGTCCATGTATGCTGGCTGGGGGATTCTGGGAGTTGAAGTCCACACATCTTAAAGTTGCCAAGGTTGAGAAACACTGTACTAGAGGTTCCATGACCTCAGGTCGGTAGAGTCATGGTCATTCTCTCTTGTCTGAATGCTCTGCAAGAAGGTGGATACTACTCCTAGATTGTCTTGATCAGTAGTAACTCTTCCTCCTACTCTAAAGTGAGGCACTACTTGAGCAGGTCCAGGAATAAAGCCTTGAATTCACTCTAAGTCAGATTTCTTCATTCTTGCAGTAAACTTATTTCTCTGAGATCTGCATCCTTGAATCACCACCAGGGTGATTTCCAATTCTAGCATCGGTCTGATGATCAGTATGACTTAGCCAAGAATGAAAATTCATACCTGAATCCCCTTCCAATCTTAGTTGAACCACATTTCTGCTATGCCATTCTTGGTTTCTCAGTGTCATCCCTCTGTTCTCCCAAAATTATCCTGGAAAGTCACTCAGCAATGGGTTTGGTGGTCTGGCATTATTTGCCTCTGGGCCTTGCTGTTTAATTCAGAGACTTATGGGTCAGGATGGTCAGTAGCAAAAAGACTTGTCATCTTGCTGACAAAACTGCCTGGATGTGTCCATAAAACCAGGGCGAGATCCAGGATGGTTAAAGTATTAGACCAGGAGTGGATTGACCCAGGTTCAAATCCATCCTCATTCAAAGAAGCTTGCTGGATGACTTTGGGACAATTACTCTCTTTCAGACCAGCCCATTTTACAGGGTGGTTGTTATGGGGAAAATGGTATCTGTAAGCCATCTTGAGCTCCTGAATGAAAGGCGGGATGGATGTAGCTGTAATCCATAGGTAAAATAAAACACCAGGGCTGTTCTCCACTCAAAGGGGTCTTCACCTTTACAGCAACCTACGGTGTAAGTCGTAGTTATTAGTTATGCTGGAGGAAGTCAGCCGGGAACTCCAAGGGCCATGGGCCTCATCTGCATGAAGATTAGAGAGGGCAGAGGCTACCTTGGTTCAGCTTCAACATCTTTAGTTGCAAGCTTCATGAGATGGAGGACATTCTGCCAGATGTTCTGAAGACCTACAGCACTCACGCCCTAGCAGCAGGCAGAGCACTCGGTCCATCTTGCTTCTATATTAGTCTGATTAAATATGGAAGATCTGCTCTCCATTGGAGGAGAGACAGGATCAGAATCCAACAAACCCATTCCACCCAAAAAAGAAATCTGCCCCGATGTGTGGATTTTAGCTTTTTAAATGGTGAAATAGCCACCTTCAGGCTCCTTTTACAAGAGTGGCATGCTTTATAATGCCGATATGTCTTGTTTTAGTTAAAAAAAAAAAAAAAAAAGTCTACGCCAAGAAACTCAATTATTGCTGCATTCCTTTTATTTGCCCAAAGAATAAGGTGCTCTTCTTCCAGGGGGAGGAAAAAAAAACCCAGAAGGGAAAAATAAGCCAGGATCTGGTACGAAAGCTATAATCACATAGAACCTCCCTGAGAGCCGTCCCTGTGGTTCAGACAGAGATCTGAAGAGAACGGCAACGTTTTTATGGCTCTTTATTAGATGTGACCGGGGAGGACATCCCTGAAGTTGAATTAGATGCGTTGCACCTTCAGAGGGAGTCAATTAAGGTGCCAAACAAGATCGTTCCAAAAGCTTCTGAGAAAAAAGTGGCCGGCCTCTCCCCTGCCCCGCTTTCAGCCTCTCCCTCTGCTTCCCAAGAAGATTTCAATAGAGTTAGTCAATTTGGTTCTGCTTGAGCTACGGCCATAAATAAGCATGAATGGTGGACTTGTTAAGAGAACAGTCAGTCCAGGCTAATAGGAGCCTCCGTCCTCCAGGCGAAGGGCGCCAATTAGGAGTTGCCAGCGAGGTCCTATTGTCACGATCGAGACGTGGAACCTCGGCTGTTAATGACAGTTACTTGTTCCCTCCAGAGGGTTTGGTGGCCTTAATAAATCGTGAAATCGAGGTCGGACTCGAGAGGTGGAATTCCATCATGGATTCCGCTGGGGCCAAGGGTTGGTTTTCACTCGCAGGCCATGGTGAGGGGACAGCTAGCGGGACCTCAGTGCGCAAAGTGTATTTTTGCTTCGGTCCTTTATTAGATTTGTATCTTGCCTCATAACACGCCTTCCTCCCGCTTTTCATCCAAAGAATGGGAGGATTTGCTCTTACCCAGAAGAAACATCTATCTTGTTTTTGAAAATATATGAGGTGGGGAGGGCTCACTGTAGAAGGTACGTCTCATTTGTCGCACTTCTTGGAATGACTATGTGACCGCACCCTGGTGGGGGATCCCATAGGCTGTCCAGGAAGTGCTGCCAACAAGAAGCAGCCTCTAGGGCACACAGCCCCCCAACTGTGTGCTTTTCCTACATTTAAAAAAGCCAAGAATATCACGATACACACTCCTGCCTGTCCCTAAAACCATCAATAGTGTTTTGTGGGTTTTTTTAAAATCAGAATTAAAAATCTGGAGAAGAAGCAACTGGGCTAGAAATCTGCCCTTTAAGACGGTCCAGTTTGCTCCATAAATAGAACGTGGAGCTGAGATGACCAATGGAGTTTCTTCTCTGTCCATTCACCCCGTTTTCATTGCCCTCATACAGGGGAGAAAACAGGGAAGGGTCAAAGAAGTCAAGATGGCAGGTTCAAGCATGCGGTTGCAACTGCCTTCTTGACTCTTTTCACCCCCTTCCCAGGTACCCCTCCCTTCAAATCCATTCTCATACTACTCTTATACTACTGGGAGCTCCTTCCTGAGTAAATCTAGCTGTCTTTCTAACCCTGACCCGTTTTAAGCAGAGTTTAAGCCTGGTTTTGCAGGAATTGCTCAACGCGAACAACTTTTGGGAAACAGTCAAAGTGAACCTGCCTCTTTGGGCCTTTCAGGTGGACGGGAGCCGTGGTCAACTGGAATGGCACCGATCCCATCCTGTGACGGACCTCTTCAAGCGAAACCAGGACCCACCCGCAGAGGGAACCCGGGCGTTTGTCCTCCCTGCGCTGATCCGATGCACCCCGGCTGAAATCCCCACCGTATCATGCGCCCCTTGCGCTCCTGCCTGTGGCGTAAGAAGGCGGCTGTCCTCTTCTTTGAGCCCCTGGCATGTGGAAGTGGGAGGGTCAACCCCAACCGAGCGGGGGGGAAGCAGTAAATCCCTCAACTTCTCGTCAAATTCCGTCGCTGAATCCGCGCCATGTCCTGTGATTATATGTTGAACAATACCAAGGGCAGCCACCTTTCTCCTTTAAAAACCCAGCGGTGACAAAAATCCCCCGGTCCATTTTAAAGCTAGGAAACCAAAATGTGCATTTAAAAAAAGCGGGGGGGGGGATCAAACTCTCGTTCCCGAGAGCATTTCTTTTGGCTAACCTAAAATATTTTGGAACCAAAGACATCACTGCCAATTCGTTTTTCTTTCCTTTTTTTTAACCAACTGAATGGTAATCTATTTTTAATCCAGTCCTTGGAACTCCTGGCTACTAGAAGAACTAAGCCGATGGGGCCATCTCATCTTCTTTTCCTCCCTGTAACCGAAGCTTGCCCTTTTTAAGGCTCAAAACATAGCTTGCCGAGACAGCTCCGGACCTATAATTCTACGCACTGAAAATGAGAGGACTGCAATCTAGGTATCGTTTTATCTCGGTGGAGAAACGCTGATTTCTGTGGAACAGCTCATATTGGAGCCGCTCTCAGTACGTGAATTTGCACTTGAGGTTGACATATCTAGGGTCATCTTTGCCCCAACTGTACTGCACCGGTCTGATAAAGTTGATGTGGGGATTAGGGTGTAGACTACAAGTTTTCCTGCCCCACCATGCAAAGATTGATGTGTTTCACGGATAAATCAACTGCTGGTCCCGATTGGTGCTGGGAATTCTTAGGGGTGGGATGGGAGACCGAATTTGGCAAGCTTAGATCAGCCCTGAGAGTGACTCAGTTTTTAATCCCAGAAACATGGGTATAATTCTATTGCTGGATATCTATAGCAGTGTTTCTCAACCTTGGGAACTTGGACTTCAGCTCCCAGAATTCCCCAGCCAGCATGCTGGCTGGGGAATTCTGGGAGTTGAA